TATTCACGTGCCCAACATTTTTTATGAAACAGATTTCAACTTCAACTTCCAAATATTTCAAAGTATTAATGAATACTGTATGAATACAAGCACTAGTTTATAAAAGCTTATCTTGTTTCTTTAAATGTCTTAACCTCGTGCTTATAACAGCCAGGCTTCTTTATTTTTTCAACTTTCTAGAAAATCATCACTCAATAAAGATTTAATAACTTCCAAAATTAGTTCTTTACAGTTTCTTGCTGCAGAAAAGACGAATCGAGCATTTGATGTTTGCATTCAATACCACTTTGAAATACTCCCAATCACTCAAAGGCCGATTTCTACCAGGCATTGTGACAGCAACTGGCTAACTAATTAACTTTCTTTCAAATTTCTTTAAAGCTTTTTAAATATAATGAAAAAAGTGGACATACTTCTTGATATTAAACTATTGGCATAAAGATAAAAAAAAAACTAATTTCTAAGAAGACAAACCTTTTCAATTTAAAAAAAAGACATTGAAAACCTGCAAAGATAGAAGTCTGCAGATATGTTTATGAGAATTGAAGTCCACATAACTTAATGATAGATATAAAAAATAAGAACTATAATAAGTGAACTCACACTATATTGATGTCAACTTAAGTTGATGAAAATTATAGTTTGGCAGAATAGAGATAAAGAAAATTGAATGGTAATTTCCCATCTTATCAATGTTGTGACTTCAACTTCTGCTCAATTCCAACATAACTTGGACTTGACTCAATCAAAACCTTGTACAGTAGCAAGCCTAGTATATATGATCATTATTTCCCAAAAAAAAAAAATAAATAAATAAATAAATAAATAAATAAATAAATAAATAAATAAATAAAAATAATAATAATAATAAATAAATAAATAAAAAAAATCAAGTTCTGTGACATATAATAAATTAGTTAGTATTAGCAGTCATATTAACATTCAAAAAGCTTTCGACCCAATCCCAAAGCAGCCTTGACTGATAAATGTACGAACTAAGATTTCAGTGAACTCTCTCTCGTGTTACAGGGTGTTGTATTACAGGCAATTCCAGTTGCATAACCTGGACAGCTGCTACACAACAATAATTCTTATAAGAGAGTAAAGTGATCCAAGAAAAATTTTGTTTAGAGGTAACAACAGGGATTCTACTTACAAAAGAACAACCTTAAAACATCAAGATCCATCATGCTACATTGACAACAGAGTGGACTTCTATTTTAATCTCCACTTCACTTTTAAACAAGTGACATACATATCAGACCATCCTTTAATAACAGTCACTATTCATTCAATCTTGCACACATGTCAGAACCAAATTAATTTACATAAAGTCATCCAACTTCACTAAATCCTGTCCCTGGGGATGCTACATGCCATCACCTCGATCTCTTTGCAGGAAGTGTCTTATTCCAATTTCCTCATTTACACTAAGAGTTCCTTTCCCTCCACTTTGTTTCACAATTAATTTTGTTAATACATATTTATATATTTATAAGGTCTTCATATGAAGAAGTCTGTAAGTAACACTATACCCTTGGGGTGGGTTGAACATGCATGTCTGCGTTTTCTCTAATCCAAGGGTGCGTTAATACTTCGTTCAGAGGCAATCTTTTTTGTGGGTCATGGCGAAGGAGCTGCAAAAAGAAGAGTGCACATTTAGAAAATAGCAAACTACAACATCAGATTATACCAGTCGCAAACTGGAGATAGTTGACTAAAATCTTGAAATTTGGGAAATGACTGAAAATCATTGACCATTAATCTTATGATGTTTAATGAACTCAAACAAACAAAAAAAGAAAGTACTTCCAGGNGAACTCAAACAAACAAAAAAAGAAAGTACTTCCAGGCTTTTCAACTTACTTTTGATATTAAATCTCTAGCCCCATCAGAGACATGCGACGGGAACCGGAGTTCAACCTTGGATATCCTACGGTATGTCTCTGTGTGTCCCTCAGCCTCGAACGGAGGCTTGCCGACCAGAAACTCGTAGCAAAGCACACCCAAACTCCAAAGGTCTACTTTCTCGTCATGCATCTTTCCTTCTATCATCTCAGGAGGAAGGTAATCCAGTGTTCCACAGAGTGTAGCACGCCTATAAACAAATCAAATGGGAATATGATAACATACTGGGACATTGACAGGGACAGGATCAATGAACAGAAAGGATTCCAGCGATTCATGGATTAATTTGGGCACATTTTCAAGACAATAATAATAATAATAATAATAATAATAATAATAATAATAATAATAACAAACAATTCACATGTGAAATCACTGGATCATTTTTTCCCCTTCTGTATCAGGAAAACTGGTCCATATCTGCTTTCAAAAAAGTTGCTAACACACAGGTCAATTGTGAACACTGAAACTGTCATTTTAAATTAGAGGGTTGAAAGTAAGTCCACAGTATTGTACCAAAATAAGAATGATTAGTATTAAGCACAGGTGTAAATATCTGCATCTACATCTATTTAAGAGTGCTTTAGGCTATTTCTCAGAAATGAATCCCCAGTCTCTAACCCAGTGGTGTGCAACGGCTTAGATTATGATGCTAAGTGAGGATTTGAACTGACCCCCACATTCAAAATCTATTTCAAAACCTATCGAAGGGCTTACCTGGATGATGGTGCATGCACTGACCAGCCAAAATCTGCTATTTTTAGGTCTCCTTTGAGGCCCAGTAGAAGGTTTTCTGGTTTGATGTCCCTGTGGATCACTTTCTTGGCATGACAGTACCTCAAGGCATCTGCCAGCTGGCTTATATACTGGAAAGGAAAAGAATTTACAAGATGACAAAGATTGTGTGAACAACAATTATATTAAACTAACCATTTAATGAGGAATGTTATTCTGGTGCACACATGGTTGCACACACACCAGGTTGGCACTGGCATGTTAATTCTTTTCAAAAAAAGCTAAGGATGATATATTTTGTATTTTAGAAAATTTGAAAATTATTAACATCATACAAAAATTCACAAAAAAGAAAAAATATATTTCCCAGTTATGAATTTTACACATTGCATCTACTTACAGTTGCTGTTCTTTTATCATCAAATCTCTGATTTTTCTGTAGTTCTTTGTAAAGCTCTCCTCTTGGTGCATACTCAAGGATAAGGTAGACTCTGGTTTCATCATAGAAATACCCATATAACCGCAATATGTTGATGTGTCTGGAAAGATGTACTTTATCTCTCTTATTTTTATATGGTATTTATTCTAAAATTTTAACACTTCAATTAGAACAATACCTTATAATTGCAAGAATTATTATTTTTTAAATTTCTCAAAAAAAAA